GTTTGTTTGGGGCGCCCGACGCCGCCGCGGGAGCGCGGGCAGCGCAAGCCCCGCCCCCTTGACCACGCCCGCTCCCGCCCCCATGTGCCAGCCCCTCCCCTCCCTCGTGCCTCGTGAGGCTCTGATTGGCTCCCGCCCGAAGCTCCGCCCCCTGCGCGGACGCGGGGTCCGTGAGAGGGAAGGGGAGGCTCAGGCGGGGGGGTTGGTGTGGCCTATACTGCGGTCGGCTGTCGGTGTGTATAAAGACGTAAATTACACCTACATACACTCCCAGAGGTGCACGTACAGGGGTACGTATGTGTGTGGGGATATATGTACCCCCTGTATAGCTGTATAACTTCACTCTGGTACACATATACCTGCATATACATATATTCACCCCTAAACAGTTATACAAATATATATATATATACATATCTATAGTGTTTACAGTACATATAAGTGCATATATAGGGTGTACAGACCTACATGTAGGTGTATATATAAGGCTGTAAATAGTATATAAATATGTAAATATATTTAAATATATACAGATATATATGCGTATATAGTTAGGCATTTGAGAGAGGAGAGAATTGGTATCAAATAAATGGCGTGGAGTTTGTATGTATTATATATACAAGTGTATGCGTGTGTAGTAGAGCGTATCTTAGGAGTATGTTACGCGCACTGACTCGGAATTTTCAATGCTTGTATAAAAATGTGTAGGCAGAGCTCCAGGCACAGCTCATCGGGAGCGTCCCCTGCCCTCCCCCCGCCTTATTTGTGAGCTTGCCCCACAGGGGACGAGGCGCTGAGGGCCGTGACTCAGCTGCGGGGCTGGGTGGTGTCCAGCCACTGTTTGGCAGAGATAAGGCCCCCCCCCTCAACATCCTCCTTTTATTCCGGGCTTTTTGTTTGCTTTTTGTCCTGACGCACAAAACAAAAACTCCTCCGGGGGCTGCAGCGGCGAGGCAAGTGTAAGAGGGAGAGCGGTGATGACAGAGGAGAGGTGTGCCAAAGTAAGTGACCTAGTCAGTCCCCAGGGCTCCGGAATGGAAAATACTGGATGGGAGCTGTGCCCATGTGCATACGCTGGGACCCACCAATAAACTCTGCGACAAGCTTGCAGGAGTTTCTGCTATTACTTCCTACAGCTTCCTGAGTATTTCTCACCTGTACGGTTAACTAGGTGTCCCCAGATAAATGGAGTGTGGGCAGTCACGCCTCTGAATTTTCTCCAGCCACACTGGATGAGCTGTAACTGTTGAGACCATGTGGTCATCATTTATTCTATTTAGTTCTGATACTGTGTGCCTTTAGTGATGGTACTTACTGTGGTGCACCTCTGCACAAACAATTTCTCAATGTGCACTTTCAGTTTGGGGTAATATTTTATATCTTGTCTCTAGGTAAGAAGGAAGAAGCTTTAGTGGCACATGAGACCTCTATGAACATGAACTTCATTTATCCTGAGATATTTAATGCTTATTACCCACTTTCTAATTGCTTTATCCAATTTAAAGTATCTCCCTACAGTCATATTCTTTACTTGACAAGCAGTTTCCTTATGTAAGACATATCAAGTGCTTGATGCATTTCTTTTGTTACAAAGTTCAAAACATATTTGCTGGAGTCACCTGTACACTCCTGCAAGAGTAAATTTACATCATTAACAATTAGTAGTACTGCTGTCATTTTTGAAGGCATATATCAAAAATATTCTCCCAATATTGACCTTATTAGGAATTGGAAGTTTATTAATATATCTGTGAAGCTCTAAAGGTAGCTGGATGTGAATGTCAAAATGGAAAAATAATTTGTATAAGGTCATCTTAGCAGAAGATACAACCAGTATAATAAAATTAGGAAATGAGGTACAGGCAAAACATTTTTTATCTTTGAATTTGTGTGCATATATTGTATAGGTCTTCTAGCAAACCTGTCTGAATTTTCACCTTGGAACACTGGAATGATCAAGCTCTTTTTATCTCAAACAGGGTCTGTTGTGCATTGCCTTGGAATATTATCAGTGTTATGCAAGTTGCTAATAACATTTAGTGTTTTGTAGCAGCTTCTTTCTAAGTGAATCTGCACGGGGAGTGATTACATGCTGCAGTGTAGTATTCTGACATTGACATTTTAAAGCCATTTCTGAGAATGAAGCCTCAAAAAATCCCTATCAATTGTTTCCAAGGTCTGTCTCTTTAATATTTCCATGTCAGCTATTGTCTGTATTAGTTCCTCCACTGACCATCAAAGCTGTTAGAGAATTGCTTGGAAAAAGCAAATGTAGCTCAGATCTTTGGGTGAAGCTTGCAACTACAGGTCTATGTGAATAGGCTAAAAGCAGATCCATCAAAAAGTAATTTTTGTCTCTGAAGAAGTATGCCATTTCAAAGTCACTGTCACAAAAGGACTGGGATTGCCTGTGAGGATGTGGTCAACATACAGGGCAGCATCTACGCTGCTTTTACAGTGGAGGACAGAGGCTGCCTGGCCTGGTGTAAAGCCTGATGGTGCCAAGTTAGCCCACCAAAACCTTAGCAAATTTGAGCTGGCCAGTGAAAGTAGGTTAAAGCAGAGTCTATGCCGCACATCATGCTGCCATAAAGCTTCTCATCTGCTGTGACCAGAGCAACTGGAGTGTTATTACCAGATTTACTATGTCATTAGGCTGCAAGAAGTACTTTTAGCTGGAAATACTTATAAGTTCTTTTGTATATATAAAAATAAACCCAAGTTATATCAGGTGATCAAAGCAGCTGTTAAAGCTGGTTTACCCACACATGACCCACTGCAGCCATTTTCACTGTTCCCTGCAGGTGGAGCAGTATGTTGGTGAAATTAAAGGTGGCCTGAGACCAACCATGAAACT